ACAATTCCAAATCCACCTCCAGCTGCATAGAAATCAACTTTAACATTGTCTTCATTCTCCTGCCCGTAAGAAGGCTTTATCTTACGATTGTAACGATCAACACAACCAACACTCAGTGTGGGAATCATCATCCTAATGAGTATCCACGCTGGGGTCAGTTCATTGCATTTAGCAACATTCCGCTCGAGGAGGGATTTTCTCTTGACGGATGGACCCTGTGCATCAACATTCAGCCCCTCCTGGAATAATCCTCTTTTCTTGGCATATGCACCCACGGATTCGGGAAGGCGGTCACCCAATTCACTGCGATTCAGCGCTTCCTCTATATCTTCTATCATCTCTGCTGATTTCTCTTTACTTGTGAATTCCGATATCAAAACTCACAGATTGATTTAGAAGCCCTCTTGTTCCCTGTCTTGCGTTCCTCTTTAGAGCATTTACAGTGGCGTGTTTGGAGAGATGCCACGCTGCCAGATCAGCAAGGAGAAGGAGGTTGCCATGCGTGGATAGAGCATTCCTCCTCTATTTGCAAGTCATGACCGTGTCAATGTGTTCCCTTTTATTTTTTTAATTTTTTTTGTAAAAAAAGATTTTTTATAGGAATACATCTTTTTTTATGAAAATAGGATAAGTAAAATAATTTTTTAATAATTAAAAACGTTTAAAAAGTTTAAAAACTGACAAAAATATTGATTTTTAAATAAAATGATATTTAATTTGCATCGTAATTCTAAAATAATAATCTAAATTGAGATGAAGGAATAAATAAAAATATGGAGTAGATAACAAAAAAATTTAAAAATATATATAAAAAATTATTTATTTGAGTAAATAGAAATATTTTCATGATAAAAATATATAAGTAAAATAATTTTTAATAATTCAAATATGGCAAAAATATGAAAAAAGGATGAAAACAATGACTTGCCATTGCAAGCCATGCCACTCCACTCGTGTGCCACTCGTTGACTAGACTATTTTTTATTGGTTGAAATGCTCCACGTCAGCGTGTGGCATTCCATTTTTGCCTCACCATTGTTGATGCTCTTAACCCTAATTTCCCGTCTCCCCTTCTATCGAACTTAGATATATATTGGTATTAATTACCAAAATTATTACAGTGTGTATTTAATGCCCAAAATTAATATCGTGCATTCATTACTCGAAAAAGGAAAGCATTGTGTATTTACATATTTAGGTTTTAAATTATTATTAAAAAAAATAAATTTACTTTATATGGTTCCCACCCAAACTCACACCTTTGTGAGCCGTTGATCTTTGATGATTTGATCATCTACGGTTGTTATAAAATATTTTATTAATGTAGACCTATAACAATCTAAAAAGGTAAGAATTTCATGTTATATTATTACTTTGTTACCATTAAAGGAGGAGATATTACGGCACTCTGAAAAAGGTAACAATTTCCTACTATATTATTACCTTGATACCACTAAAGGAGGAAATAAATACAAAATGGCAAGAATAAAATAGGAAATCAAAAGCAATTTTTTCAAACGGAAATGATAAAACATAAATATATTAATGATAATGTGTTTAAAGTTTTGTAACATGACTCGATAAAAAATCTAATATATTACATTTAAAAATTTGTATGTATACATTACTATATATAAAAATAATAATACTAATTATTATTAAATATAAAATCTATTTTAATTAAGGAAATAAAAATCAGAATATAAAATACTACATTGTAGTATATAATAAAATATTACTGATTAATATTATATATAAAGAGTTTTAAAGAGTTTTGTTTTTTTATTTACATATTTGCAAATAAAATTAATAGAGTAATGAAAGGAGGAAATAATTGCAAAAAATGGTAAAGATTAAAAAACGAAATCAGAAGCAAGCTGTGCATTATATTGTTTGTTTTTTTTTTCATATGCATATTTGTGAATAAAAGTTATAAAGTAATAAAATCACGACCCTATTTAATATAGAAAAAAATGCACTTAATTAACAAATATTTCTATATTTGTGAAAAAAAAGTAATAAAGTAATGAAAGTAGGAAACAAATAAAATATGGTGAGAATTAAAAACCTGTAAGGGCAGCCAGGTAGTTCCATCGGACCCGATCATATGCCTTTGCCATATCAAGCTTCAGCCCAACCCAGCCCACCTTCCCACACTGCTTCCACCTTAAGTAATGTCCAGCCTCTGCCGCCAAGAGGATATTATCCGAGATAAGCCTGCCCGGAAGGAACCCCGACTGGTTATCGGAAATCAATGTTTGGAGAATTGATTTCATCCTATTAGCCAGTACCTTGGCAATGATCTTGTAGAGGACATTACATAGGGCAATAGGTCGCAAGTCTCCCACCGTCTCTGGAGCATTTTTCTTTGGAATTAAGACCAGTGTGGCATCGGCAAGCCCTTCTGGAATTGCACCACGCTGCAAACAGTCAAGGATAAAAGTGATAAGTTCAGGCCCCACTTAATTCCAACAACATTGAAAGAACGCGGGATTCAAACCGTCTGGTACAGGAGCTTTGTCGGGGTGCATTGCAAAAAGTGCACTCTTGACTTCCTCCGCACAAAAGGGCCGAAGCAGCTTCTGGTTCTGACATTCCGTGACCTTAACATGATGACATTCCACCGCTCTAAGAATGTCTTCCCCATTCAGCCCCTCCGCTGTGTCCGAAAACAGTTTCGTGTAAAAGTCGAACACCAGAGTGTTAAGATGGGCGCCCTCCTGCCAGCCCCCCCTCTCGTCTCGCAACTTCACAAGTTTGTTTTTCCTCCTTCGATAAAAAGCAAAGTTATGGAAGTATTTAGTATTCCTGTCGCCTTCCTTAACCCAGAATTGTTTTGCCCTCTGTCTCCAGTAAGTGTCCTCAATCTCCAAAGTTTTCCTGAGCTCATGTTCAATTGCCTCTCTTTCACGCTGCCCCTGCATGGAATCCAACTGCTTCCTCAGCTAACGGATCTTGCTGCCGAAACGGTTAAAATGGTCACCTCCCCAGCTTTGAAGCTCCTTCCCACAACAACTGAGGCGTTTGAGGAACGGCATGCACCCATGTCTGTCCCAAGCATTCCTGAAAACCGCCCGGAAACCATCCTCCTTAAGCCAACAATTTTCGAACTTGAAGCGGCGCGGCCCCTGAGAATGAGTCTGACCACTCAGGCATAAGAGGATAGCTGAGTGATCCGACCTAAGTGTGGCGATATTGTGGACCACACAGTTGGGAAAAATATCCAACCAGACCGTTGGTGCAACAGCCCTGTCAAGTCGTTCCTCCACCCACTCAGGCGAATACTTCTTCCATTCCCATGTAAAGGGGTGCCCCCCTGCATTCCCATATCCACAAGACCACAGAAGTTTAAGGCATCGTTGAAACCATGAATGAAACTAGGGGGTCGGGGATTGCCCCCTTTCTTCTCATGTGCAGCACATATGTCGTTGAAATCGCCGACCACAACCCAAGGTAATGAAGACTGGTCCTTGAGGGAGCGTAACAGAGTCCAGGAATCAGAACGCCGGCTCCATTTGGGATGTCCGTAAAAACCTGTAAACCTCCACTCCACCTCGCAGCCAAACTTGATTGAGACATCAACATGATTGAAAGAATAAGATATAAGACTAGCCTGACATTCCTTGTTCCACATCAAAACAATTCCGCCACTACGCCCCGCACTGTCCACAGAAAAGGCGCAATCAAACCTCAGCTTGAAGTTTATTTGTTCAACCTTCGTGTGTCCAACTATTTGGTATGTCGGCTAGCGCGATGAAAACCCTGGTGCATGAGGTATGACATTTTGAATAAAATGCTTTTTAAAAATTTTTTGAGTAACATGATTGCTTTATTTAATGAAACCATTATGTTGTTCGAAAATAATTTTTTGAGCAGCAGTGTCGTCTCTTTCATAAGTTATGTTGTTTGAAACTAAATTTAAAACTGATAATGAACTGATTGGAAAAATCTTTATGATTAAATCATTGTTTTTAAGAAGTACATTATATACTGACTATGATATACTCCCTCCGCCCAGCAAAAAACTTCTCATTTTGACTTTTAAAGGATTGAAGAGGAATGTATTTTGGTGTTGACTTTCCAAAAGTGCTCTTTGATGCAATGGATAAAGTAGGATGTGATGATTAGATTAATAAAGAAAAAGTGTAATGTGATAGGTAAGTTAAAAATTAATAGGAGTAAAAGTGACTTTTTAATAGAAAAGGGAAGAGTTTTTTGGGACAGATGAAAAGGAAAAGGAGAAGGTTTTGTGAGTAGATTATTTTTGGAGAACATTATATACGGAAATCTTATGTGCATATATTATGGAAAACATTATTAAGTATTACATATGGTAATCTCGGTGCATATATTATATAATGATAATTATTTTAGGAAAAAATAATATATATGGAAATACATACTATTTATAGATGGTATATTTTTATATGGACATATGATGGGGGATAACTTTATACTTGGACGGCAATTAATATGATATCAATATAAATTTACAACGTAAATACGAGCCGTGCAACGCACGGGTATGATACTAGTATGTATATATATATATATACATACATACATACATACACACACACACACACACACATATATATATATATATAACATACGGAGTATATATTAATTTGTGTTAAAAATAATGTGAAAAGAAATGGAATTTTACATGTTTTAAATGAGAAGTTAATTTGTGGATGAAGATAGTAACAAATAAAAAAACCTATAGTCAAAACCAATTAATTTAAAAATGAAAGAACTGTTAAAATATATATCTTTTTATTAAAAAATTGAAGAAATTGAAGTTTATTTTGGAACAAAAGAGAAAAGGAAATAGAAATTCTTTTAAGAAATAGATTCTGATTAGTGAGTACACCGTCTGTTTCAAATTAAGATTCCAAATTTAACCGAACATAGTACTTAAGAAATACGCAGTACTGCATTCAAAATTGAGTGATTAAGACTCGAGAAGATGGAGAGAAAATAATAATGAGAAATTATGTAAACCAAATAATCATTTCTTATTTTGGCTCTTTTCACCTTGATTTTAAACTAGAATCTTGCAACAGGAGTCTTGAGACTGATGTCTAGAATAGGGAGGGCCGAATAACTGGAAATAAAAGATGAATATAATAAGGCCTTGGTCTATTCATGCCATTGTACTATACACAAATTGGATAAAAACAAACTGGAATTCTCTCTATAATTCACACATACAACTTCCTAACTAGAAAGGCAAAATGGGGTGACAAAAGATAAACTCAAACAACGGTGCCACGCACACAAACAGTAATGAGAGACTCACCTCAGACTCCGCACATCAGATAGCAAATGTAATAAAAAGCTTCGTCACTTGCAATGGCAGAACCTGCAAATGTGCAAAACCTCACCAGGCTCCAAGTGACTGGCTGATCTCAATTACGGTCCAAATAAAGGAAACACACACAAAGAGCTGCTGACACATTAAAATAAAAAAGGACACTATATTATGATATGCCTTGGAAGGACAATCGGTCTCGAAGCGAGTCAAAAATGGCAGCAGCAGCAGCATTTTGTGAAAATGTCATCTTCAGCCGGCCAAGCAGTTCCCCGTCTTTAGCCTGAGATGCAGCATCTGCAGCCTCCTTTGCCATTCCAATTTGAGCATAAGCCTGTTCATATAATGGACTGGTTGAGGCCTTTTTATCCTTTAATATGGTGCTTCCAGCTTTAAACATCAAACAACTACACTGCATGTTTTTCCTATTTATTGCCTTAAAAAAACTATTTCTGACAGTAAAAGAGCTCAACATTTACCTCTGCTCTTTCCCGAGGATCAGGCAGTTTGGGTATGTACTTGAGTGCTTCCCCCTTCTCACCCGCTTCAATGCATGCCTCCACAAATGGTTTGTAGCCTATACATAGCAGAGAGCAAAAACGGGGGAAAAGGTTTTTTACAACATATATCCAACTCAACTATTCACCAAGCATAGAGATAGACATTTGCACTTCGCCTACTGATAAAAAGCAAGAAAAATGCAAAACATATTATTGAAACTAAATTTCATGCCACCACACTGTAATTCTCCATTCCCAGATATTTTAACGACTCGAAATGTGTGGAGTTTTGCATTTGTTGTATAGTTCAAAAGCCAGAAAAGAATATAATATATAATTTACTCCATAAATTTCATGCCACCTATCCATAGTGTGAATCAATATGTTGTTGATCATGATGAGCCCATGAAACAAGGGTTGGAAAAAAAATAAGGTTTACATAGTCTCAAGTAGACATCCTCCCTTTCATTTATACAAATCTATATTCTCTATACAATTCCATTTCCTTCCAAGTTCGCATTGGATTCTCTTCTACAAACAAATACTTATTAAATTGATTGTTTCTTAAGATTGTAAGTAGAGAATCAGAACATCAGTTAACACTCATTATTAAACTATTTTTAGTATTCATTTTCAATTACTTCCAAGCTTTTCTACCTATTCTATTTGCACTTTTCAATTCCATTTATTTCCAAGTTAGCATTAAAGTCCCTTCTACAAATAGATACTTAGTAGATCTATTGATCTCTTAAGTTCGCAAGTTGAGAATCAGAACATCAGTAAAGCTTTCATTACGAATCTATTTGCTCTATTTGATTTGAATTACTCCCAAAGTTTTCAACCTATTTTATTTGATCTATTCAATTTCATTACTTCCAAGTTCGCATTGGAGTATCTTCTAAAGACCGATACTTAATAAATTTATTGATTTCTTAATTTTGTAAGTAGAGAATTAGAGCATTGCTAAACGCTTTCATTTATGATCCAAGCTTTTCTACACATTCTATTCGCCTAGAAAGACAAAGTTTGAGTTTAAGTGAAAGTGAATCATCTTAACCTCAATATTAAAGATTCATAAAAAATGGCAACACATAACACACAACTTTGAAACAGCCCTAATCATTAAGTTGATGTCTCTTTCTTGACCTGGACCTACCAGAACTTCAAAAACTTACCAATTGGCGGCCTTTTCTCTTTTGAGAACTTTTCCAAAGCATCCCAATCTCGTACAGTTGCCAAAGCAAAAACTTTCAGCCAATACCACCTCTTTTCTGATACCTGGATTAGACAGTGCCATAGTCATTCCATTGCAACCTCATATATGTACACACACACACAGATATATATATATATATATATATATATATATATATATATCTGGTGAGAATGCAATCTTAGGAGAGAAATAAGAATGAATCTGGTGCTTTAGATTGTGAGATCTAAGGGTCAAGATTTCATCAAAATTAGATGCACCAAAATGGTGCGAAAATGCATCACGTTGAAATGCATCATAAACCTTCGAAAATGCACTATCTCAAAATCTGAGCGCAGGATGCAATCTGAGCCGCACGATGCATCAGATCTGACGGCTAGATTTTATTCTCATTTCTCTCCACAAGGTGCATTCTCACGGGAACCGGCCCCTATATATATATATATATATATATATATATATGGTTCTTTCAATCCCATTTGGTAGGCTTCAGTTTTGGCTTACAAGCACATATTTTCACCAAAACCCAACTACTGTCGTTGTGGCGGCTTAAAACACTTTTAATGGAAGAAAAATTAGTGCAAGAGTAACTCTTTAAGGATTGGCTAAAAGACTGAAATGGCCTCTTTTTAGCTATAAACCAAACCAAAATGAACAAAACCAAACACACTCTTTATATCCCACCCGGAACTAGGGTCTTAAGAGGGGAGGATATAGGCACATGGCACACCTTATACTACCCCAACAGAGTAGAGAAGCTGTTAAAAAGATTGAAGCCCCAGCGAGTGTAAAGGTAGTGTAAATCGCGTACAAGAACGAAAGTAAGCAAAGAGAGGGGTAATCAGAGAAGCATGAAAAAAAGCGAAAACACAGGAAGGCAGCAAAAAACAAAAACCCAAGAAAGCAAAACAACCGGGGGGGGGGTATAATTTGGAGATCTTAAATACACCTTTGTACTAGAAAGCTGTGCTAGTTATGCGCATAATTTTTAATAAACTAAAAGCTATGTGGTTGAGATTTATACAGAAGAAAGAGGAACAATGTGACCATATAAAACATTTCATTTATAAAAATATGCATTTCTTAATTCTTCTAGGAACCGACCAAAAAGGAAAACAAGCACATCTTTTTGGTACAGAGGGAATATATATTTAAATATATATTTAAATATATATTTTAATCATTCTTAAATTATAAGCAAATCAGCCAATGCAACCATTCTAACTTCACCCATGTTAAGACTTCCCAAACAGGGTATTCTTCTATGGCCTAACAGCCCATACAAATATACTCCCTTCATCCCCAAATAAAATCTTCCCCCTTTCCTTTTTTGTTGTCTTAGAAACTTCTCATTCCTTAAAATGAATGAAGTTAGAGGTCCACAGTAATCTCCCTCTGCATAAATCTCAGCCAAACCATTTTACTTTTTCTTAAACTCTGAAAAAGCAGAGAAGATTCTTTTGGAACAGAGAGTATAGGGTTGAGCACTGGTCCAGGACCGGGATTATAAGTTTAGAAAATCAAGAACTGAAGACTGGACCTAAATAAACCCGGACCGAACAGGACCTGAAAGTCCTGTCCGAACCAGTACTTGACCGGAATAGAAGTTACTCTCTTTTAAAAATAAATTTTTTGTACCTTCTAACATTTAATATTTTGAGATAATAGTATGCATTTTTCTAATTTTCATATGTTATTAAAAGTAAAAAGAAATCATAGAAATATACAAATCCTACATTCCTACTAAACATGTTCGAATAATACTACTTTTTTTAAAGAGTATCCCTTTCTTTTTTGTAGATTTGTTTAAAAATAAAATTTTACTCCCTCCGTCCTATAATGTTCTTCCCGGTTCTGTTTACGATGTTAGACCGACTTTATTTTCAATTCAATATATTTGATTGTAGGTGTAAAATTAAAAGTTAAAATTTATATATTTAAAAACTACATCAAAAGTTCTACAAAACAAGTGGTGACAAGACTATATTATTTTATCAAATACCTAATGAAAATAGGTAAAAAAAGTGATTAAAGTTTGACTGTGTGAAAAGTAAGTGGGAAGAACATTTTAGGACGGAGGGAGTACTTTTCTAAATACAAAAATACAATTGTAATGATCTTGAAGAATGAAATATGGATAGAAATATTTAACTATATATGATACCCCCTCTGTCCCCCATAGATCTTCCCATTAGCCCTTCTTATTTGTCCCCCATAGATCTTCCCATAAGCCTTTTTAACATTTAAAATACCACAACTACCCCCACTTTATTTATTACACCTCACCACCTCATTTGATATACTCTACCCATTTTCATTAAGGATGTTTTGGTAAACTTTCACATTTTTTCAACTCTCCTTAAAACCCACAAAAAGTCAAAATGAGAACGTCTTAATGGGACGAAGGGAGTATTAAAAATACAAAAAAATATGTTATATAAATTCCAGTTCGGACAGGAATATTTCTGGACCAGAACCTGAAATGTTGAAAAGCATGGACCTGAGACCGAACCTATTTTAAAAAGGTCTGTTTGGTCTAGAACAAACAATCCGGATTGGTCCGGGTCGGTCCGGACCATAGTCACAGAATTCGCTCCCAGAGCCGCGACTTCCATATTGGTACAAGTCGTACCCAATCGCAAATCGCTTGGGATCCGATCGCAACCGGTACGGTAATCCAAATCACGATGGTACGGCGCTCCAAATCGCGATGGTACGGCGATCCAAATCCCCAGGTACGTTGCACCCATCACCGGCGGTGCAATGTACCAGTGGCGACTTCCTCAACTTCCTTTTCCCAACGAAACAACAGCGAATTCCTCTTCCCAGTTTGCGACATCCCCTCTTCGACGATTTCTCTTTCCCAAGTCTCCGTAAATTGAGTATGTTCCACTTCCCAGGCACGTTCCACTTCCCCAATTAAATGTTTCTCTTTCCCATTCTGCTCATTTAATATTTAATTTAAAATTCAATTCACAACTAAATATTATACTTATTTTTATCGATTTTTGTTTACTTATGTTTTGATTTTTGGTACGCCGAACCAAATACATGGTACACCATACCGCTTCGTACCGAAATGAACCTACTCCCTCCCCTTTGTACCGAATTCATTACCACTAGCGAATTTCGTACCCGAACTGAAACGTACCGCGATTTATGTGACTATGGTTGGGACCAGAATATGCTTAGTCCTATATATAGAGTACGCTTTCGAAAAAGGATATGACCTTGAATTCGGTTTTGACTTTCATCGCAGCACGATGATTCCCCAACACAATACATGTACGGATTGTGTCACTGATACTTGAATCCACAAATATGGCCTGTTTAGTTGTCACCTCCAACTCATGTTGTATCCTGCCACGATAATCAAGCATATTAGTTGTAGAGTTCATATTCTTTGTTACTCCCTCCATCCCAAAATAAAGTCGAAACTTTGATTTCATGGTGTTTTAGGTAAGATATTTATTTGGATTTGACTTTCCCATATTGCTCCTATTTTTAAGTGGGATGGGTTAAAAAAACGTGGGTGGGTTAAGAAAGTGTGTTAAAGAAGTAGGGTAAGTAAGAAAAGGTGGGTGGGTTAGAAAAACGTAATTAAGGGTATTGTAGATTTTTTACTTAAGGTAGTTGCCATAAAATAAAGAGTAAAGTTTGTTTTGAGATAACCCAAAATGGAAAGTGTAAAACTTGCTGTTATCGATTACCAATAATATCAGAGACAAGCTTTATCAAATGTGTCATCCTGAGATGATATTTTTGTTTTTGGATTCTGCTGTCAACTTGTGCTATTGGGTAGCCATAAAAACACCTTTTATTTGACCTTTGTGCCAATGACTATGAAAATGGCATTATGCCATATGCCTTAATTAAAATAAATACCAACAGCTTAGTTACTGAATACTGTTCCGTGGTTCCAGTGAAATAAGATAAAGAACTTCAAATAGGCATAAACATTAACTTAACATAGACAGAAAAAAAACACCTTAATAATTTTGCATGCTCCTCGGCTGCCTTGGACTCAAAGATGTATTCCTTTGTATCGGCAAAAAGGTTACTGGCCTTCTCAATTAGTTTTATTCGAGGACCATATAGCGGAGATCCTTTGCTGGCCATTGGATTCTTTGCCAATTTCCATGATTCTTTCCATAAAAGAAAAGCTACATCCTGAGAAATGAAACCTTGTCAATAGAAAAGTAGAATCCAGTGCAATAAAGAAAATGATTCACAGGTGAATATAAATGCCAAACTTAGGTCCCTGAAAAACTAAATGCAGCACACATGACACATCACATTAAAAGTAATGAAAGAAAAAGAAGCTTTGGAATGTGAATCTACACAAACAGTGGCAAACACTTCATATTTTTATCAAAACACAAACAGAACTAATTCAAAGGCGCCACTCGCCAAGTGGTGCAACCTACAACAACAATCCAGTTGGATCCCACAAGCGCAGACCTTGCCCCTCGAGAGTAGAGAGGCTGTTTCCAAGAGACCCCCAGCTTAAGCAGAACAGATAAAAGAACACATAGAGTAGAAAAAGCACAAAGCACACAACACACCGAGACAAAAGTGGTGAAACCTAATAAAATAGAAATGCAGCTAGAAGAAATACTCAAGTTGAAATAAATACAACCCTCCTTAATATTGCCATTTAGAACAGAATTAGAATAAACTTCCTAATTACACACAGTAACTTAATGAAACTTGCAAGAACTGAGCAAAGAGAAAAGAATGGTTGTGCATCACTACGTCAGTACAAATACATAGAATACCGAATAAGTAGTTATTCTATAACATTGATACATTGCACTATTTTGTAGAAGAGAGAGGACCTGTGAGTCTAATTGACTAACCTGTAGTTGTCCAGTAGATAGGAAGAAGTCCTTTAAAATTTCATGCTTGTAAAGCCTAAATCCTCATGATACAAGGTGGGAAAATGTTAATAAAGATTTACAGAAAAGGATTCTGATGACAGAGTGAGTCCAATGTTGCATCTTACCGTGCATAACTAATAAATAGATCACGTGGTAGTGGTCTGGACTGTATAGTACTAAAGAACTCCAAAGCTGGTCTCTAAGATAACAGGCCACACACAACGGATACTGATCAATAACTATAGAGCTGCAAGTTACTGGAGACAGGATAATCTAAAACTATGATAGTAACTACTTTTAGACTGTAGAATACCTTTTGCCAAATATGGAGGAGGACTAGATAAACAAGATCTGTATCACCACTTTCAGTTGCTTTTATGAGAGCAGTGTCTTCCTCTCCTATACTCAACAACAGAGGAACCTGAGGGAATATGATTATAGAATTAAATCATTCACTTTGTAAAGTGGTGTTTCTTTCTGCAACTTTTTTGCCCAAAAAAGAGGTGCTATCAACACTCAAAAAAGAAGATGAAAATCTGATCCAAATTAAGATACAGATAAAGCAATTTAATAGGACAACTTAATTCCTAAATGGAATAGAAAGTAACAAATACAATAAAAACAAACCTGTTTAGATGAGCGTGGTTCGTGTTCAACAAGCAGAGCAGCTAGTTTCCGTCGACTACTCTTATCAGCATGTGCAGCAACTGCAGCATAAGATATGCCTTTGCATAACTTAAGCTGAAAATTCCAACAAAAAACACACTTAAACTATTCATTTCTGTTCGCACTTACTGATAGGTTCCGAACTGGTTGACTAAATTAGATTGCAGATCTGCAGCACTTATTTGAGTGATTATTCAATTAATTGCTGAGTTTCTTTTTTTATTTAGTAATTAAGTAATCCCATTCAGTGGGAAGTTTGAAGCCAGTTATTCCCACTTAATTAGTGGGAGGTTTGGATTAAATTTTTCCAAACTTAGTGGGAGGTTATAGAGTAAGTTATAGCTAGTAATAGGACATTATAGTCCTTTTGTATTAGTAGACCTTGGTAATGTGGAATGGAGTATCGAAAAATAGAGAGAATATTATTCGTAGAATCTCATAGAAATCTTCTTAGGCAAGATTTAAAGGGCTTTTAGTAGATCATTCCATTATTCTTATTGTCTGAATCTTGATCTTAATCTTGTCAACTGAAACTGGTGTAGCATACCTATGCCAACCAATGAAATTAGGAATTCAACAGTTTCACGGATGTCAGGAGGCTAGAATGTATTTTAAAATAAAAAACCTTATCAAGTAGGATTTCTAGAAGATTATCATCAGGGATTGAAGAAGATGTTGCGATCTTCGTACACGCCCAGTGCATAATTACAACTTCCTGCACAGCCAAAAAGATAAAATCACTTGTGCAGAAGAAAACTCGCACCTCTAGAACGATATTAAAACAATAAACAGAACTTAAACCTGTAAAAGAATGAGAAAAGTGTTGCATCATGATGAAATGTGTAAACCAAAATGTGTAAAGTCAAAATTACCTTATTCATACCAAGATACTCTGATATTCGCAGTGCAAGAAGGTGATGGTGAGCATTAATTAGACGAGCAATTAGAACTGAGGGTGTAAGCATCTGCAGCACAAGAGGCACTTTCTGTAAGTAAAAATTCAGATACAACTGCAAAACTGAGGTAGAAAACATAAAATACCTTGTATTGCTGAACACTAAGAGGAATACCAATATCTGGGTGCCGTACAGCATTTAAAACTCGTAAGGTTTTACACGTCTCTTGAATTTGGTCACGCTGAAAATGGCTGCCAAAGCCAACTGGATGCAGTTAACAGGAGAAGAAATCAGAAAAGAATATTCTCTTTAGATCACATAACTTAGCAATTTAAGATTGATGAAAGCCATAAGATCATAAAAAAGCTGATGCCCCGAAAAAGTGAGCCCAAAGAACATAAAACATTAGAACTATGCACCGAATGGTAGTTCGAGTGCTCCATTGGTGCTTTTAGCAATGATTAAATCTAAACAGTTTCATTAAACATTTGCAAAATAAAAGGACAGGTCAGCAGTCAATTTCAATGGAACATTTTGACCTCTGCAGTTTCACTTCTTCAAAAGTTTGAAGTTCGAACCATATAAGAATATAAGATCACAACCATGAAAAGATCCTACATGAAATCATTCTTTTCTCTACCCTTTTCATTTTAAAAATACAATAAATATGTATAATGTATCACCTTATAGTTTTGTGTCTGGAGGAATGGACCTAGATCCCTTTGATAATATTCCTTGTGCAGACTTGTATGTATATCACATAAAAACATAGACTACTCACCAAGCCACTAACAACAAAAGCAACCTAGTAGAATCTCACGAAAGTAGGGTCAGGGGAAGGTGTGTTCACCAAGCCACTAAGGATTACTAAAAGATATACCCATCTAACGAAGCCACTGAGCATAGTGGAATAATATGCAATTCATTTTTTGAATGCCTACTAATTTCATTGAGTGCTTACAAAGGATATTCTAATCAATCAAATATACCAACCTGCAAAATGCCTGACCATAGCTAGCAGCTCTTAACAAGGTACGCTGCTGCAAAATATCAAATTCATTTCCTGCTGCATCAATGCATGCTTCAACAGCTTCAGGCAACGAAGAGCGGATTAACCTCAAATTCTCATCTGCCTGGTGAATGATGAACCATACTTTATTGGAGAACGAAATCTAAACCTTAACCCTCAGATATGAATGATACAGTGAGCTAAATACATCGCGTGGAAGCGCATATACATGAAAAGTATTGATGGCACCTATATTAACATGTTCCATTGCAGCCAAGAATATACCTTGGCACTCCTCCTGTCAAAATGATCCAGTGCATCATAGAGTAAAGCAGCAGGCATTGTGCTCCCAATTTGAAAGATAGAGACAGTGGAATCCGGCACCCTGTGCAGAAACTCCATACTTGTGCCCGATAGTATTCTAACCCCATCACACTCTGGGATCAGTCGAACTTGTTCATCATAGATGTAGTGTACTGGATCGCCATAAGGACCCACCATTAAAAGCATATCATCCCAGTAAAGCAATATAGTATCCATTCCACACCAACACAACTGATCAGGAGGTAGGACTGACTATACACAAGAAAATGAGAAAAACAACAAAGGATAAAGATATGCTTCATCAATTCAGGACAATAAAGAAATGGGAAATGAAAATACTGAATCCTGAAAATAGATTAAGGATATGTTTGAGTCTCTAGGGGCAAAGTATCTTGCCAGAATTATTCCCCATGTTCAGCAAAGCCAATAACAACTTTCATCTAGTTGATCATGTTATGTTACTAATGACAATAGCTGAAGGACCTCTAATATTTTGGAAAAAAGTTGAAATAGGTGTCTTATATAGTTATATAAGAATCCAATAAATTCTGCTATGGATAAACTTATAAAGTTCAGTGATGCTAATAATATAGTATGGTGTTGGAAATGCCTGGAAGAATCTTCTTTAACACTGATCTCTGGCATCTTCTCCTTTAATACTTGTAGCATACAAGTTTCATTACTCCGGATGTTTTTTTCCAACAAAAACCCTCTGTCAGAATATTTATAACTGACCTACCACAAATCATATACTTCACCCCCACTAGAACTACATCATATCATCAACTAGCCAAAGGTTCATGTAACAATGATACTGAGTTACCAGGAAAAATTAACTATGCAATTTGTGGTACTAGAATTTCCAGGCCTGCTCCTGAGAATTATTGGGCACGGGGCGCAAAGAAAAAAGGGCCCTTACGGGAATTATTGAACTTATAAAAAGAAAAAAATAATTAAAATTGAAGCTCAATAAATACAAAAGTAAATATTTTCAATACATAGGAAAAACTATACAAAACTAAGGGGGTGTTTGGCACTGTAGTGGGCTCTTTGAAAAGTAGAAGTCATAACGCAGAAGCCAAAAGTATTTAATCCCAACTTTGCCAAAAAGCACTTTAAGAACCCATTTTGCACTCTGAAGTCATACGCCATAAACAGAAATAAGTTTGTCAAACACACAAAATTGCTTTTGAACGAAGTAGAAGTTCACATGTTGTTTTCTAACACAGTGCCAAACATCCTCTAAATAAAAAGGACTATAGTGTTCCAAGTGACACAAGCTGACAATTGTATTGAAAACTTGGCATTCAAAAGGACTAATGCAGTACTAATAATACTCTTGTAGGACAATTATATATCTTCAAATATCTAGGGCTATGAGTGATAGATAATTTTTGGCTTAAAAGTGTATTTCTTGGCGGACCTACTCATAACACTATAATAAAATATTTGGGGCCTATCTGCTTCACAACAAAGAATATGTTTAAAATGTAATAAATTGTAGTGTTTGTTGATCATAATATCGTATTTGATCAGAGTTATAATTCTCTATAAACTGTGAAATGTTTCAAAACATATGATGCGTATTAAGGTGGTTTTGGTTGTGTGAGTCTAAACAGTACAAAAGAAATGTAACATGTTAATTAAAGGGTGATGTGTACCTGTGAAGTTTTTTTAAAACCCAGAGGATTGAATCATAAACTGGCATCTGACACTTGTGAATCTATAAACTGAATTATAAGCCCTCCGTCCCAAATTAGTGTTCCCATGTTAAAAAGATATTGAAACGTGAAAAATAAATGGTTAGAATTTGTTTAGAAGAAAGAAATATTTTGGATCACATTTTCTTTTCCATAAAGGGAAAGAAAAAAATGGGGAAATATATTTTTGAGGATGAAAAACGACAGCTGGGAAACTTTTGTGGGATGGAAGGAGTATACAGTATCTATGTTTTCCCCCTTTTAAAGACTCAAATCCTTCTTCAAATGTTGCAGATAATAATGAACGGTCGGTTCATGAGCAACAAAGAGGCTGACAAATCACTACCTTTTAATACAGAGTATATATTTTCTTTACATGTTTTTAAAAAAAATTTCTTATTACAGACAATTTCTGATTAATAACAGTAAAGTTATGAAGATTTATGTTACACAATCAACTTATTAGTGTATAATTAGTGTGTAATGTTCATATTCCCCTTGCTTTCATTTAATGACACCCATATTGTACTCATAATTAACCCATATTAGACCCATCAATTTAGGCAGGAATTTCAGCTAATTCCTAACTGTTTTTATATACTCCGTATAGTATAGATTTATGTGTGTAACTATCAGTTTTATTTTTTTATCAAACCAAGTTTCTTCTGTAAGAGATAAAGTCCCTTTGCTAGGTAAAACAAAACCCTTAACATTATGTACAACAACAACAACAACAACCCAGGTGAATCCCACAACCCTTAACATTATGTAGAACCAAGCAAAAATTGGTACCTATATAAAAACTCATTAAAATCATTGGCATCTTCAACCTTTAAATAATCTAAGATCACCGAAAATTTGGATCTTTTCCATTTTGTTAACAAAATATCTACAATATTCATTTATCGAGCAAAAGAGCACAGTATGAATATCAAAGAACTGGGAAATGAATAACAACCTCACAAGTGTAAACGGGCTTAATGTTGGAGAAGTCCGTGGACATGACAAGAACCCTCCCATCACGTGTAAAAGATGCAAGCAGCTTGCCGTTCTGCGAAACCACCATCTTCTCTAATGGCCCAATTCCAGCACCCATCTGCTGAATCCCGTCCTCTTCCACCAATAACACCCCATCCCCTACCGCCATCAGCAGCTCCACATTTCCAGACATGGTATACTGAGGCTCAATCACCGCCATAGAGAGTGGAAGAACCTCCAAACCGGGATCTGCCAGCTTGATAGGGCATGGATTCTTGAAATCGGGCACGCAGAAGACCTGAAACGCCTTATTGATGCAAACTACGCCGTTACTCCAGAACACACAGTCTTCCACACTGTGCGTGAAGCAGTCAGTGCCAAGGGACAGCGGTTCTAGAGGCTGTGCGTGGATATCGTATCGGTAGATAGTACCATCCTGAGTAATGCAGATCAGCGTCTGGTCGTCTGTCCAGGACATGCCGATGAGGCGGCCGCCAGGGTTCTTCCAGACGGTTTCAGCGATGGAGACACCGGCGGAGTTGAATATGCGGAGCTTGCGGATGGCGGACTCTGCGTAGAGCTGGACGATCTTGTCGTCGTCGCGGATAACGGCAATGGGGCCGCCGAAGGGGGAACAAGCAACCTTGTTTTGCATTAGGTCCACGTTCTTCCATTGCATCTGATAGAGCTCCGGTTTCCTGTAATAGCGATTGTAGAGGAGCTGCCATTCGGCCGCCACTGATACTGCCGTGGCCATCGCTATCGACTGGCCGGACGATGTACCTTATCCGATCGCCTATGATTGTGAATTTTGACGACAAGATGCTAGTAGGGAGTTCACGAGCCGGGCATAGCAGGAACAACCGCGGGGTGTGAAAATGGACCGAATAGCTTTACCTGCTTCTTTTATAAATTTTGCATTGAAAAAAGCAAGAAGTTCAAAAAAAATAAACAAATAAAAATGGAGAAGGTATATGGTACAACCGGATGTATCTAGAGATAGGTACATCCGGATAGTACTCATTCTAAAGTAGAGTAATACTTATTCTCGCACAAATATAATTAGCGTGGTACTCATTTTAAAATAATACAGTATTCATTTTCACACATTGGTTCAATATACTTATAATATTCATTTTCAAATAATGTAGTGTTCATTCTGAAACAAAACAATACTCATTTTCAAATAACTTAATGTTCATTCTCGTGTAAAATAAAATTCATGTCATAAATAATTTCTTGGTTGTACCCAAAATTAGGTACAACCAGATGTATAATATAATTTGCCATAAAAATGGGTGGTGGAGAAGGGGTGGTGTACATTCAGGGTGTACCCCGAGTTGGTATATGGTACATCCGGATATACCTAGAAATAGGTACATCCCGGTAGTACTCATTCTGAAATAAAGTAGTACTCATTCTCGTTCAAATATAAACATTCATTCTGAAATACATAGTACTCATTCTGGCAAAGGTAGTACTCATTTTAAAATAAAGAAGTACTCATTTTTACACATTTGTCTAACATAATTATAATAAATAGCGTAGTGTTCATTCTTAAAAAAATAATACTCATTTTCAAATAAGGAAATATTCATTCTGAAATAAAGTATTATTCAATTTTTTCACAATTAAAAAGTTCAGTACCATCATCAACTTCTTCTTCTATTCGATTTGTTCCTACTCATTTATACTCTCTGAGCATGGAGAATTTAAAACCCAGGTTTATTCATGTTTGTATTGAATAAGAATATGATAATTCTCATAAGTGTTGGTACTCCTTCTCAATTCTGCTGGTACTCATTGTCATATATAATAGTTCTCATACATATGTTCTAGGCATTGGATAAAAAGTTTGCAAAATTTACAAAAATACCAGGATGTACCTAAAGGAAAGTAAAGCTGGATGTACCATATAATTTGCCGTGTACCCCTAGCATTACTCTTTTGCATTTGCCGCTGTACAGCAATTATGTAATTTTTTTGAAAGGAGCAAATATGCAATTATGATACACGAATTAGCTCAGAGTACTCATTTTGTAATAAATTACTCCGTAATATTCATTTTCGCTCAAGGTGTAAGTGTTCATATCGAAATAATGTTGATGGTGTAAATTATTTCGATCGAATGATCATTCTTAATCGGGGGAAAATGATAAACTAATCTAAGACAATACACCAAAATAAATATGGGGATTTTGACGTGGAAACCCAATCGAGAAAAAAATTACGGGCCTTTTTTGGCGGTACCTTGCCAATGAGAGATTTTTATTAATACCGTAGGTTGTATACGGTACATAATATTGGCTTAGAACCCATTAATGGGGAACTTCTAAGCTCTTGAATAAGAAGAAAACATATTATACATATTCTAGAGAGAGAAATTGGCAGGGTGAAATGAAATTGTTCCCTTAATATTGAAAGGAACCCTTTCTTTTATAGGAAGCAGAAGAAACATCTTCAAAAGAATATTCTCTTATTCATTCATTTTTATTAAACAGACCCGATTTGGTTATTCTTCGTAAATTATTGGGAAATGTAGACCAAATCATGTACTCCGTAGTATTTTCAATCAAGAAGTCCCTCACTTTTTTAAAGTTTGTGTGACTCATCTTATCTTACTATTTACAAAGCAAAAAGAAGCAGGAACAGTGTTCCCGCCTAAACACTGTTGTACAGTATCGGGATGAAGGATGCGTTCGGGTCGGGGCGGGGTGGGGGGTTTATAGGGGCTTAAATGGGTAGAAACCGTCAATTTTACGAACAAGACACCAGAGTATCATGAGGGATCTCATGACATTGGAACTCAATGTTATGAGAATATTAGTGTTTTTTAATAGATTTAATTTTGAGACTAATTTAGAAAAAGTATATAGTACCATTTGATTCTCCTAATGTGCCGCCATAGCCACTTGTGAGATTCTGGCTCCTTCGCTAGAGGCAGCCTAGGGTCGTATGGGTTGGGCGAACGTTTTGTGGTTGGAAGTATGAGACGGAAGTCAGGGAACGGAAGAGCTGTATCCGAATCCGAATTTACAGTAGTGTTTTGCACATTATCCCAAATTCTGATCGGAATCTGGGCCTCCTGCGGCTGAGAATCGCTCAGGCAAAAAAAAAAAGCTCATCATATCTCTAGGCTGGCTTCCAGCTTCGAAGCACTGAAAATGCCACAGGGAGCCATTGAAATCCAACGCCAGCTCAAGGATCAGATTCCATGAGGAAAATAAAAGAAAAAAACGAATCAAAAGGAAACCAGAGCACATAAACCAGTCAGTCGTCCCTCCTTTATGATTTCTCCCTCGTATATATATTATTCTTTCACGTTTGGAGAGAAATCAAACCTTTTTGAATATTTAATTTCCCATTGAATACATATATATGTGTAAATAGATACAATGGATCCATGAGTGGTGATATGGAGAAGAAGGATGGGGAGTCTCATCCAGATGCATTCCAAGCATCTGGACCGCGAAGTGTTTCTTCTCCCAATTGGAGAGACCTCATCAACTCCAGTTGGTGTGTGTGCACTCTCACCTTTCCATTTTATATCCATGTCTATTTTCTAACCATTATTTAAACAAAACAGGCTAGCTAGAATAACACCATGTTTGGTACCAAGGTGGACGCCATCATCATGGCTATTTTTTTACACAAATGATCGTGTATGAGACACTAGCTAGTGATATCAATTTGGTGTTTTCCTTGGTGTTATAGTAGAGCATGACCCTTGTTCCCAACCCCTTTTTCTTGTGTGGGTGTATGTGTCTATGAGAAGGAAAATCGAGTTAGGGCATTCTTGGGTTGGTTGGGCTCTCGAGTCTCGAGTGGTTCCAATCCACTCCGAGTGAGTGAATTTGAAAGGGCTTTTTCCCACGTTACATTCCATTTGCCCAGTGGATGTAACTCACTGAGTTTTGATATAATTTCATGTTCTTTAGAAGGTAATTTTGATTACTCTAAATAATGTGTTTAGTAAATACTACTGGTATGATAGTTGGACAAGTAATTTAGGACACTTCACGCTTCAAAACGAAAAATGGATAACTAAATCCAAACAAAAAGAGTGTATTTTAAAAATTGTTTGTTGGTTTAACTAAATTTAAATATTTAATTTGTTTGTGACTATTTTTATATGAATAAAACATTACATATAACAATGATGAGCTTATTTTGTTTGCATATGACGCTTTTTTGGGACCCAAATAAGTTCAAAAATAAGATCTTTTTATGGGATGGAAGGAGTGAAAAGCACAAATTCTTCATTCCATTCCTCAATTTAAGAGCATCTGATTCGTGTTGCTCATTGGTTTGTGATAAGAAAAAAAAGAGCTGGTTAACTCATTGAAATTGCATTTATATATAATAGGAAGAATGGGAACTACAGAAGGACAGTAATGGCTTGTTTTGTACAAGCAGTTTACTTGCTTGAGCTTGACAGGCAAGAAAACAGGAAAGGAGAAAATGCCCTTGCTCCAAAATGGTGGTCACCCTTCAAATACAGACTGGTGGAGATCCTAAGAGACGAAAGGGATGGGTCTATATTCGGGGCAGTCCTGAAATGGGACAGGGCAGCAGCTTTAACCGACCTTGTTCTTATCAGGCCAAGCGGCGCACCAAGTGCCGTTCTAGCACTCAGAGGGACACTGCTCAAGAGTCCTACAATGAGAAGGGACATCCAAGACGACCTACGCTACTTAGCTTGGGAGAGCCTAAAGGGATCTGTCAGGTTCAGTGTGGCTCAGAAAGCACTGAAGTCTCTTGCAGGGAAGTATGGAAGAAACAACGTATGCATCGCTGGGCATTCGCTGGGGGCAGGGTTCGCACTTCAAGTAGGGAAGGCATTGGCGAAAGAAGGAATATACATAGAGGCACATTTGTTCAACCCACCATCGGTTTCGCTGGCCATGTATCTGAGGAACATGAGAGAAAAAGCTTGGTTGGTCTGGAGAAAGCTCATCAGATCTCCTCATGATCAAACTCAAGCTCCTGTTGTGCGAGTTGGGATGGAGCAATGGGTGCCACATCTGTACATAAACCACAGCGACTATATATGTTGCTATTACATGGATTCAGCAGGTGAAGTAGAAGAGAAGACGAGGGAAAGGAGTGCCCAAGTTGCTGCCAGACTGTTCCTGCCGGCTACGAAAGGAAAACAGAAGTTTCTAGAAGCACACGGACTGGAGCAGTGGTGGTCTGACAACTTGGAACTCGAAATGGCAGTGAATAACAGCAGGCTGATAAGCCAGCAACTGAAATCCTTGTATAAACTCCCTCTGCACTGAATAACAGCAGTGCATATTCCACACTGCCTCATTCAACAAATCACTCAATTTGCAACCGCAATGCTTGATCATATCAAGTTATTTATAATTACCTTCGATAACTTCCCCCCCCCCCCAATCAAGTCATACAATTGCAATGCATCGTTGCATTTACTACGTACTTCCCAAAAATAAATTTTTGATCCAACATTTTTCTCTATATGTGCTTCCGTTCACTCCAACAACGTTTCCAAGTAGGATAAGCATAATGGCCGAGTAAAACTTACAATGCATTGATAGGTTTGACAAATGTAATACAAGGAGTAGCTTTGGAACACCCATGGAAAATGCGTGATTTAAGCTTAAAATTAGTAAATCCCTCTTTGTAGATTTTGACTCTCACTTGTCACTTCTAATAAAAACAATTACTCTACTGCAATCTTGTTTTGCACAGTACTTTTATTTTCACTATTAGTATTTGGCGTCTAAATTACTTTACAAAGAAATACACTACCAAATCATATGGAAGTGGGACAAGACAGTGTGCCTATCTCCATTGTATCCTGCAAGTTTTATTTTGTAAACTATTGTCACTTCTAATAAAAACAATTACTATAGGATAAATAAAAAACTTTATAGGAAAGTGTTGAAAAGGCTATCCGGAATACATTTACCTCCCTATTTATCTCTACCCAAGTCTTTGCAAGTATGGTCACTCACTATATTGCACACACATTACATCAGTCTATCTATCAAGAATCAATCTAAAACTTAAACTAGAACTTGCAAGAATGTTTCGTTGTCCTGCACAGGAGGAACAACGTTGTTGTTCACAATAATCCTCTCAACAACCTCAGTCATAGCCGCGAGAAGGTTGTTGTTCTTATGCAAGAATCTGTTGTCTGGCTGCTTTACTGGTTTTTCTTTCCTGCAAGAATCATGGAAATCTGGAGACCTCTACTGAAAGCTTGATTGAAGAGCAACCTAGTTTGGAATTCTGAAACAAATGGAAACCAAGATAATATGACAGTAGGCATGAAGATGACAAGCCCCATGAGACACTCATATGCTCTTCCTAACTCCATCACCGAGTCCCATACTCCGACACGTCTTAGACAGGGCTTGCAGGCTTGTCCTATCTGTAAACAGATGGAAACGTTAGATCAATGGACTAAAAATCATGATCTCAGCAGCTTAGGCTCGGGGAACACATATTCATTAACCATATACAGTATAACACCAATACTTTAATCGGCGATTAATTTATAATCGTACTTAATTAATAGAAGTGGTTGGTCCCAATTTTGGCTAGTGTACTAAATTAATGAATTTGCTACATTTGTAAAATAATGCGGAGTAGATTTTTAAAACACTTTTATATATTTATATAGGTCCCGTCAATTATATAAACTAACAATCTACGGAGTATTAAAAATACATTATTTTATGTGGTTTTTTAGAATTAATAATAGCTTCTTTTTTCTGTTGAATGTCAGTTCTAATTAAATTTCATCCAAATGTTTTATACGGCACAAGATGTTCTTTTAATGTTTTTCATACCGCAAGAATAATTTCTTTAGTGTGGTCATGACTTTTAATACCTCTTTCAGTTCTTTGAGTGAAAGATGCTTTATTATAAATAATTATAATGATCATCATCATGTTCTTACTATTCAATTATAAAACTACATTTATGTACTAAATACTATGTGTGTATAACTAACATTAATTTCTAGCACAATTTAATATGACAATGACTTTTGAAACTGATCAAGGAAATAATGTACTCGTACTGTCTCAAAATAAACTTCTCACTTTGTTTTTCCGGTTGTTCCAAAATAAACTTCCTATTCCTTTTAAGGAATGGATTGGATGGTCCGCATTAAGGGGCTGTTTGTTTCAGCCTCTTAATGGTTCAGATGTCTGAATGATTCAGCACTTAATGGTTCAAACTGTTTGTTTCAGCCTCTTAATGGTTCAGATGTCTGAATGGTTAAGAGATTTGCTTCTGAATGGTTAAGTATTATACAGAGTCTGAATGGTTAAGAGCTCTTATCTGAATTGATCAGACATTTGTCTCTGAATAGTTAAGCAATATACTAGCTCTTAATGGTTCAGACCTCTTACTGGTTCAGCACTTAATGGTTCAAACCTCTTACTGGTTCAGCACTTATCTATTCAGAAGTTGCCAAAGAGCCCCTAATTCTTTCTTCTCTACATAAATCTCAACCAAACAATTTCAATTTTTTTTAAACTCTAGGAAAAAGTGAATAATAGGAAGTTTAAATTGGGAGAGGGAGTACAATATAAGTTGAGAGTGATATAATCATATATTCCAATAAGATAATAATCTATTAATTTATCAATGATTTAATATTGTGCTAAATAAATGAAATTTTCTGGCCCCAAGGCTATAATAATTAATGGAGGTTATACTGTAAGCAAATATGGAACTTACAAGAAGAAGACCCCAGCCTGTGGGCAAGAAGGCTAGAAGAGCTGCAAATAGATCACCCAGGGTGAGGCCACAGACCACAAAAAGCACCGTCATGACCGACGCAAAACCAAAGAAAAGAAGTGCCTTCAAAATTCTGAACATTAGCTGAAAGTCGGTGCCAAATCTTCGTCTTCCCATTGACACCATCTGTTACAAACATGTGAAGTATTTAAGAAATAAATTTCACTATTAAATTTAAGAAGGATTACAAAGTGATTATAGGACTAACACTACTCCTATGTCAATCTAAGGCTGGGCGTAATGCCCCACCCCCGTTTTCCCGTGGCCTGCCGTGGCGTTGCCACGTCCCCGCGTGACAACGCAGAACACCGCCCTCCCTGCGTGATTCGCGCAGCGTGAGCCAGGCTATAGCCATGGTCAAGGTGCTCCTTCAGACATTTTCTGTTTCTTTTTTCCACTCCCCCACGGCTACGGTTGAATGGCATACAATTTTTTTTAAAAACTCAAAATTCAAATTTTAAATTACAAACCACCTATACTCTCTTCAATTTAAACCATCCAATATACGGAGTATATATATTTTTATACACATTCTCTTCTTATTTCTTTATATTTCATTTATTTAAAATAAACTCAAAAGATTAATAAATTGTACTCTCTTCCGATTCGTCTAGTGATGACGAAAACGAAAGGGTCGTTAGAAAATGAATCCAAATCAATCGAGATCGTGCGTCCGCAAATGAGCGTCTCATAGAAGATTATTTTTCTGCTGAGCCAACGCACGACTTGACATTTGCTTAACGCTACCGGATGAGCCGACCTCTTTTTTCTAGAATTGCCGATGACTTGCAAGCGCATTTTCAATACTTCCAAAAATGTTATGATGGAAGAGGTAAACTTGGATTTACGCATTTGCAAAAGTGTACATTTGCAATTCAGCAATTGACTTACAGTACAAGTTCTGATTCTTGAGATGAATATCTAAAGATGTCTGAAAAACAAGCCAAGATACACTTTACGAATTTTGCAAAGGTATGCGAACTTATATTTAATTTGTAAAAATTAATTTTTTTCCAAATATATAGTGCAGATTTTAAATTTCCATTATATTCATGATGGCACTATACGGTAAAAAATATTTGCGAAAAACCGTCATGGAATGACATTCAAAAAATATACGACGTTCATGAGGAAGTGCATGGATTTCCAAGAATGCTTGGTAGCATTGACTGTATGCACTGGGAGTGGGCGACCTGCCCTACGACTTGGGAGGGCCAATATCATCAGGGTGACCATAGTCACCTGACGTTGGTGCTTGAAGCAGTAACGTCAAATGATCTTTGGATTTGACATGCTTCCTTCGGAGTTTGCAGATAAGTAATGATTTAAATATTCTTGATTAGTCCCCGGTTTTAACGATATCGTCAATGGAGTTGCAGCTATGTCATCTTTTATTGCCAACGATACAGAGTATAATTTTGGTTATAATCTAGCTGATGGCATCTACCCGGAGTGGGCTACAATGGTGAAGTCGTTTACTTGTTCATGCGAGGACGATGTGAAATATCTGTTTTTAAAAAAGCTCAAGAGTCTGCTAAAAAGATATTGAACGCGCCTTCGGTGTACTAAAGAAAAGGTGGCATCTTATGGGTAATCTCGCAAGAATGTGGGAGAAAGAAAAATTAATAAACGCCATTTGCACGCGTATTATTTTACATAATATGATTTTAGAAGACAAGGGGTGAAATGTGCACGCTACGAGCCGGGTGATAACCACGTTGGAGAGGTCACTGATGATGAACAAATTGCAAGACGCGCCCAAATCCGTAGTAGAGAAATGTACAACAACCGGGAAAAAAATTAAATACAAAATAAAAATAGAATAAACCAAAAAAATTCAATTATTTAATATTATTATTTTATAAGAGATAAAATTTAATTTGAATAGAAATAGGTAAATATTTAAAAAATAATTGTGTAATCATTACAACGAATGTGAGGCACTACAGGTGTGGAGTGAGATGATGAGTGCTGTTAGCGTTTATGTGGCGTTGAGTGGCTGCTAATTTGAGAGGTGGAGTGCTACAGTTAACCTAATGACCAACACAAGGATGAAAATGCAGATGAAATGTCTAGCCTAGCACGTGATTGTGAGGGAAGTCACTTTTCCAACTATCATTCTTCTAGATTTTACTTTTAAGAATATTATCCACAACGCAGAAAACAGAAAACATGTTTAAAAAAAAGTTTAGGGGATTGAGAGCATTGCTACACCGCAATGCAATGCTGGAGGATTATATAACAACGTTCTGTGAGCGTACCTTCAAGACAAGAAGAACAGTGACCATAACAAACCAAGAAAGTCCATATACCTGTCATGAATGATTTTATAATGAATATTCACAGAAAGAAGAAGAAAAAAAAGATTGACATTCATACAGAGAAATGTATTTCAAAGAAAAAGAATTGCACGATCATTACCAGTAAACTCCTGCTTCCATGAGCTATATCAAGGTGGTACACAACTCCATACTGATAAATGAAAAACCGAAGTGAAAGGATGATCTCAAACAGCCTAGCCCTTATGCTTGTGTTTTTCAGATGCTCTTGTTCTTCACTCCACCAAGATTCCCAACTTTTATCGGCAGGAATCCCAATGCCACCACGATTTCCCATCCACCTCTTCCAGTCTGTCCAATCATCAACTGTTTTCTGCCAATCGTACCCAGATGGGTTGAACACAAAAGGAGCAGACAACCATGACCCAACTAAAAACCACATTGATATAGTTACAAACCAGTACAGTTTAGAACTCCTGTAAGATTCCCCATAGACTTCGTAAACAACTAACAATATTAACAGCTCAAGCCCCTTCACAAAGTGACTGCGGGAGTACAATCTGTAGTTATC